AAGTACAAACTTTTGGCTTGTAGCTCTGACATCTCTTGACCAAATTTAGAACTAATTTAAATTTTGGACTCAGGAGGTATTTGACCATAGATTAATTTACTCTAGGAGACCTTGGGTGTCAAATATATCAACTGAAAGGATTTGACCTCCTGAGTTCAAAACTGTAATTAGATCTTAAATCGGTCAAGAAATGACGGAGCTATGAGCAAAAAGTTTGTACTTGAAAAACTCAGAGCCATTATGCCACAGCTAAAAATAATGCTTCAAATACAACCAAATAAGAAAATATAACAATAAGGACAACATAAAGTTTGAAAAACCATTTTCTTTCATATGAAGAAGAATGGCATTAAACATAAACCAAACAAAAAACTGAACAAAATATTTAAGAGAAGGTTCTCAATACTGAGTGTTTCTTCAGGTAATTGTTACACTTATTTCAGTTTTTTTTGTACCAAGAAAGATGACACGACAAACAAGAGAACAAAAATTTTTTGAAAACTCAGTGTTTCTTGAGTAAATATTTGATTACTGATTCCTCATATTATTTAATCAATAATACTCAAAACAAACCTTTTGTAAAAGTAAAACACATCACAATCAAAATTGCACCATAAAAACCCTTTTACATCAAATGCAAAATAAACCCTTTAAATTGAAAAATGTACTAAAATAAATAGGTACAAAATATATTCTTTGATATGAAATCCAAGATAAACGAAACCCACCATAAATCAAATGGAAAATACAAAACAAAACATACCCTTGAGCTCAAGGGAAGCCTGAGCAGCAGTTATTTAATTGGACATGCATGCCTGTGTCTATGTGATGGTGTGTTTTGTTTGTTCAACTTAATTAACCATCTGGTTCCAGAAACACACAGGCATATTCAACCAATATATCACTGAACTTCTGCCACCGTGTTGATTCCAGATTGTGTACACAATCATCAACTAGCAGCCTCAGATGTGTTGGCAATCCTGTATTCTCTCAAATGTGGCATGACAAATGCAATCCTAGTGTTATCACTAGTCTTAGTTACCTACACTTCACTTACTGTGCCAATGATCATCCCAGAGTGAAGCTGAATAGCCATCTGCTCACAACTGCTGAACAACACCAGGGCTACATACCTCTTTGAGAGATAACTGTTCAAGCTAGTGTTGCCTACTTTCTGGACAAAAAAACAATGCATTTTATACATTGGCTCCATCACCATATTACATGGTGACAGTGTACTAAACTCATCTGCAATAAACTACAGAACACCACTTGTGTATTTAGAGGTACTAGGACTCACTCTATTATAGGATGTTCAATATTCCTAGGCCTGATTTGGTCTGCACTGGATAACTTTCCAATGGAAGTAGTTCACTTATTACACAGGCCAAACTGACCAGCAGTTTCCTGAGTTCATCCTAGAATCCCATTACCAAAATCAAATGTCAGATATGGCTACCATCATTCTGTGGTTGACATTTCCAAGACATATTCACATGTAAGATATCACTATTTGTCACAATGAAGTTGATATTAGCTAGTTGAAGTAGTGGCTTCTCTCAGAGTGCATGATACACAGAGTTCAGTTGGGCTGACCACCAAGCCTATTTTTGAACAAGCTGTTTAGTGCACTCCTCCAAGTCATTGGCTAGATCCAACACAGGCTCCATTAGTTTCCTGTAGAAAAAGTAGCAGCAACTGTAGCTGGTTGATGACTTTCCTGCATTTCCTATGCAATAAGATTCAATTACCAATTGTGAAATGAGATACAGTCAATTCACTTTAACTCTCTGAATAAAGGCTTGGTCATTTTGAATGACCTTGTAACCACCATGTAACCACAAAATTTTACATACCATAACTCTGAATATACTAATATGGAAAGCTTTAAGTAAACATTATAAGTTTGTTGTACACACACACACACACACATACATACATGAAAAGAGATTTTTAATTGAACATTCATTGAATTTATAGTCAGTCAGACTCAGACCTTGACTATTCCGAGTGCAAGAAGATTTTCATGTACATATTAAAAATACTTTTCTCAATTTACAGTTTCATATTTCATTTGCATAACCTCTAGAACCACCTAAATTAATATAAAAAGTTTTTTCAGTAAAACTTTATATTCTGTTATTTTCTCTACCCTAACTACTAACTGTAATAAAATCAGTAATGTAAGGAAAAAATTAAAAGTTGAAATGTACAAAATAAATATAAATTATAATTTTTTTTCTTTCTAGAATGACCAGACAGTAGCAAAAACCTTTAGCCTGTATCATGAGAAAAGTTTTATTTATTCTTTTCCATTTCAGTTTTCTTATCTAACCTAGCAAGTTTATAATTTCTTAATTTAGTTATTCTTATAACAATAAATAAAAATTGATATTAAAAAAACTTAAGAAATTTAGTACTTATGTCTGAACTCATCATTTTGTTGTCGGGAGACGAAGCACTGTTAATTCTACTTTTTTGTAAAAATGTTGGTGGTATGTATTATTATTAATTTTTATTTCAAATATGCAATTTAGCACACAAAATGTTATCAAGCCCAAAATATGTGATATCTTAAAACTATAATAATTTAACCAAGCTATAAATAAGTATAAAAAATTCCATTTGCTGGTCATATACGGTCATATTTTATAAAATTTTTAGCAGATTCCCACTGAAATAATTCAAGGTATATTTTCCTAAAAGTAGTGATGAATAAATAAAAAAAAATGTGCATTCAACCCAACCCTCTGTATCAGAACATATATGCAATATGATTGTCTAGTGACCTGTGTTATTTCCATAATGAAAATTGTATTGTTTTGTTTTTAAGTAAAGGAGACTGAATACAATGTATTGTTGGCAAAAATCTTTGTTTTTTAATGCAATGGGTGCATCCAGCACATTAGAATGCTCAGCTTCACTAAGTAGCTGCATGGATATTTTTCACTGGATGCCACTGTTCCTTGTCATTTTAATAAGACTGCTATAGAAGTGAACACTTTTTGACAGTTGTCATTTCTATAAGAAGTGCCAAAGGACAGATATTCAATTCATATTATCCTACATGGTACAATACCATCCTGCAAATATATAATACAGACATGGATAAACAACAACAAATACATACCCCAACACATTTCTCTCTAAGTATTTTTTTCTGTTCACGCTTCTATCTTCAAAATATTTCTAACAATTAGTCAACAGAGGAAGTCCCATTTTTTGTGAAATTAACTCACAAAAAAAGTATTTGTTCTTACTAAGTTTCTTTTTTTCAGATTGACTGGTCAGCACATAGAGAGACTGACAGATCAATGTTGATATTGATACAAAATGAAATTTTAGGAATTGCGAAAAAAGAATAATTTTCCTGTACTTCTGAAAATAAGCATTTTGATATAGAATTTTTTTCCTATGATTAACTGGTCAGGAGGTATACAATTCATATTATATATATATATATAAATAGACAGATTTCTATGCAGTGAAAAAATTGCAATTAAAACCAAAATTTGGCTTGTGACAAAGGAACCGAAATTAGAATAAGCAGCTTAAATTTCTTCATTACTTCAACCCAAACCAATGTTAATACAATGTATACCAAAAAAACCATTTTCTAAATCTGGACATTTCAGTTATAGCTTTATTTTGTAAGTGATTTGAGGGATGGAAATGGGAAAAAGTTCAAAGAACTTAATTATCAAGCACCCTCATAAAAAAAAGATCCTGAACAGAAAGGGCTTAGTAACAGCATAGACAACTTACTCAAATATTTCAAGCTTTCCATCAAAAAAGTGATCTAAAGTCAGGGAAGACAAACCATTTATAAATCTGTAAAAAAGTTGCATTTATAAATCCAGTAGCATATGATATAGTTAATTTTTCTTAGGGCAGTTTTGCAAAACATGTTAAGAAGCAGAAAAATGAGTACATATACATTAACCCTCTCACTACATATAGGTCAGGGTGTACATGTCACAACCATTTAATTTACTTTATTATCAATATTTAGGAATAAACTTGGTATCCAAATGAAGGTAATATATTAATTTTTAACACTATATAAGTTTAAAGTTCTTAATTTTATAAGGAAACATTTAAAAAATCCTCAATCTCTTTTGTTATGAGGATCATGAAATTTGTTGTCTAAGTCTTCTCTAATTTATTTACCACCCCTCTCTGAAGTACAGAATTTAATGCAACTTACTCATTATAATATAGATATTACTAAGGCAATGTATAATTTTTATAGCCTTCAACCTTACTTTTTTACAGACTCGTAAACTAGAAAATCAGACCCACTTACCATGCTCACTTGTCACATTCTCTCTTTCACAAATTGCCACCAGTTCTCTCTGACATTTTATATTATTTATAATCAATAGAATGGCAAAGTTTTCATTTATCAAATGATCTTATATTATGTTGTTTTCAGGACAGAGTATTGTCTATTTTGTCTTCAGTTTGAAAGTTTCATTCACGGTGTTCAGATTGAGAAGCTTGAATTATTTTAAGGCTCTTATGCTATAGTTATTTAGTGTACTAGTACCATTAGTATAAAAAACTTAAAATTCATCAGCAACCAACAGCAAAAAAAACCACAAGAGCAACAGTAAGTACTATATTTCTAGTGTATTCTTTATTTTTTGTTATAAAAGTTACAAACTTATTAGGTTAGATTATGACAAATATAACAAAAAAAGCTCTTCACAAGGTATGCTTATGAGCAGCTCACAATTAGCTTGTGCACTATATAATTCAATAGGGTAACTTGAGCTACACCTTCACCAAGTGATTTACAATGAGTGTGGTAGGATTATTAATTAGATGCAGTTCAAAGGGGAATAAAACATCAAAATTAAGCATAAATAGATGTATACTATCACAAGACTTAAGATATTTAGGATAAACAAATGTAGGTTTCTGTTATAATCTGCTGTCATTTTACAAAGAAAAAGAAGGAGTAATTTTGATTTATTTCATACTATTTTATGGTGGTTACAAAGTCTGTTAAATAAACTGAGTCCATATAGAGTTAGGGTAGAGAAAATAAAACAATATAAAGTTTTACTGAAAAACAAAAACACTTGATATTTATTTGGTAGATTTTAGAAGTTGTATACACATATGAAATTTGAAAATTTTTAGATGAATAAAAATATCATTAATATTAACTTGAAAAGCACTTTGCACTTGGAGCAGGCAACACTCCATATATTCACAGACAAATCATCAGTAATAATACTTAATTAAAAGTCTTGTAATATTTACTGAAAGTTTGCCAAATTTTGTGAAGATACACGTACCATATTAAAAGTTAGAGTCTGGAAACTTTAATGATTACTTTGTGGTTACGAGGTTGGTCAAATCAACTGAGCCAATGTGGAAAGTGTTAAATGTATTCAATTAGCATAGGGTCTTTCAATGAAGTTATATTTGTTCCCATATTTTACAATATGTTATTACCTTGTTTGCCAAAAACTTCAGTATGAAGGTGAGAAAGGCCTGAAGACATTGAGTAGGTCAACCTAAGCATGTCAGGAACTTCTAAAGTATGAAGTTTCAGGTAGTCATGCAAAGAGCCAAGATCGTGGTAGTCAGTGATGAGAAGAAGCTGGGTCCAGGAGCCTGTACCACGAATATCAGCTGCAATAAAACCTAAATGAAACCAAACAAAGACAAAATTATGACCTAGAAGTTGAATTTTCAGCAGCACACAAGTCTTTTGATTTTGTGATTTTCCTTAATCTCACATTTAGAAATCAACTGTTTACTTTTAGTTACATTAATTATACGGATTTGACATAATTTCATTAATTTCAGCTGATTTACTGATATTGATTCTTAATGTGAATTTAATTTATTACTTTTAATTCAAATGTAGTAAAAAATTATAATTTGAAGACAAAAATGCCTATCAATTTTTTGCTTATTTAAATTTATAAAATCAACAATTATCTTTCATCACTTTTATAAAATGAAAATAATCCCAACACACTCCACAGAAAATGTATCCAAAGAAAATTTTACATTTACAAGTTAACTAATTTCTCTAACATAATGAATTTACAAAAATACAAGAGTTGCATTATCACATATGAAAAATATAATTTGCTTCATTCAGCAATAACCATGGATCTTTCAATACATTATGAACATGAAACCTGATAATATTAAGAAAAAAGTAAATAAGAAATACAGTAAATTCACTCTATGCAACAAAACTAGTGGACACTTTTTTTCTACGTAAAATAAAGAAATCTACAATAATGTATAGATTCTGATTTCTAACCAATGACTATCTACATGCAATACACAGAAGCAAACAAATTTTTACTCGTATTAAATGTACTGAAAAATGTGGTGTTCTTAACCACTAAAGGGGTTATTTACAAATGTTGGAAATGCATATAAATCAGCTATCATTTCACTACAAATTTCCTGATGGTTCTAAAAATACTGTTATGGGACATAAAGGTATCTGTTCTGAATACAAAAGCAAAGAGTACTGATCAGGTTTATAAAAGGCCTTCAATACTTGATTGGTAGCTAGAAGGGTATGTATGAAAGCCCTCTAACTGGAGGTAAATATTCACAAAGTAAAAGTATTAAATAATGCAGATTGAAAGAACACAGCACTTCAAAAAATGGAGTCTTCAATGTTCTTCATGGAAGAAGAAACCAGTGCTGTGCAAAGAATTTAGAACAACTATGATTTCCGATGCTCCATGTCAATCAGAAATAAATGCCCTCATTCAAAACTGGCACTGTAATGAAATTCAGTATTTTATTATATATTAACAAGATCCTAAACAATGAGTTAAGATGTTAACAAAGGCTCATAAATCAAATATTCACAAGCTTCCAGCCATACCTTAACATCAACAGCTATTTTCATGAGACGTATGGCCTAAAAGACAGCAATTCTGTTTGACCACATACAATTCAAGTAAGAATAAACTATACATACTATGCTACTCCTCATAATGTAAACATTTTTTTCTGTATAGTTTTTTCAAATTCTTTAATGCAATTCCAACAAAGAAATGGATTTTTGGACCTTTGTTCTACTTAAGTATGTGACAAATCTAAGATATTAGTTTATGAATAGGAGATGAACAACACTGACATGAAATTTTGAGCAGGTTAAAGACACACCCCACCTCCTTGAAAGCTACTAAGGGGACATTCTGAGCAATCGATTGGTTATTCATGTCATATATAAAAGTGTATATAAGGGAGCATTTCCAAAAATGGATAGATGTGAGTGGGGTGCCACTGTGTTTGAGTTATTATGTGAGCAATATCTTAGCAAATAGAAAAAACAAGACCTTCTTATTTTATTTTCTATCTTCTCAATATCTGTAATTTGAGTTTCTAATTCGTATGAAACTATAGACTTAGTATTTTGACTTCACAAACATCTAATCTGAACCAGTGCTCCATGCAACATACCGCACGACACACAAAAATCAATGATTATCTGTGTTTTTTAATATTTGCTTTTAAATTAACAAATTGGGTAATGTACGCTGAGTGGTCACAAGTAAACAGACACCTAATTTTTTATCATTTAACTGATTTATGCTAACTAATTTGTGTTCACAGAGCACTATATAAATGAAAATGGTCCGCACACTAATTATCTTGTGCTACAACATGCCTAGAACTCAAGGTTCTCTCGAATTGTCAGATTTTGTTAGAGGAAGGATAGTTAATTCTGTTGACTGTCGAAAGCGGGATTCCCAAATTCTGCGAAATTTGCCGCTGACTTATTCCACCATCTGCTTGACCTCAATTATTTTGACGTATTTCGCACTCCACTAAGCTCGATCTCCCACCAACCCAAACAGCTCCCCAAACCATCACGCTGAAACCATCATGTTTCCCAGTCGGCTGCAGTCTGTTGAGACAAAACTCTTGGTGAGGCATTCTCCAGACCCATATCTTTCCACTGTCCGAAAATTGAGCGAATCTTGATTCGTCTGAGAACAATACGGTCTTCCAAAAGTCCAGAGGCTTGGTCATCATATCACTTGCCCACTTCTTTCGTCTCACTATGTTGGCAGGTCTTAATAAGGGCTTCAGTCTAGCTGCTCTGCAGCGATAACCCAATCTGTGGAGAATCCGTTGAACAGATTTCGGGCTCATCCAACCAGCTTTGGCCACTTCTGCAGTCGTTAATCTGGGATCCATTTCGATGCTCCTCTTGACAGCCCTTTTTGTCCTCTCCGATGGACCAGGACGACCCGGACGCTGCTCAATTGTTTCCTTGCCGTGTTTCTTGAACTGCACGATGGAAGGACTCTTGCCACTTTATTCCTCGGGTTTCGTGGACAAGAACACAACGTTGTTCCATGAAGATAGAGCACCGTGTCACACTGCTAGAAACACCCAAAAGTGGCAGGAAGAAAATGGTATCCAGAAGTTGCCCTGGCTGAGCCTATCTCCTGACCTGAACCCCATCGAAAACCTTTGGGCCATACTCGACCGGCAAGTCAAGAAACAACCAA